GTGTCGGAAATCCAAGAACTCACTGCAGGTTTTGATTGGGTTCACGTAAAATCTGCCGATAATCCTGCGGATTTCATTTCTAAAGGCTCAGATACATTATCACTGTCATCAAATATGCTTTGGTGGCATGGTCCAAACTTTTTAGCTGATTATTTCAATACCTGAACAAAAGAAAATAGTGGCTAAAATAACTCTAAAACCAGAATGTGACTTTATGTTAAAATTTTCTTCTCTTGTACGATTGAAACGCACTTTTGCATATTGCTTGCGATTTATAAACAATTGCAGAAGCCCTGAAAAGTTAGTTGGACCATTGAAGGTCTAGGAATTAGAAAATTCCAACAACTCTTTGATAAGAATGATTCAATATAAATATTTCTCGTTAGAAATTTCTGCTCTTAAATCCAATAAAAATATTTCAGCTAGCTCGTTAATGAGTTTAACACCCTTTCTTGATAAGGAAGGCCTTTTAAGAGTAGGAGGTCGCTTACATAATGCTCAAATTCCATACACTCAGAAACAGCCCATATTTTTATCACTAAAAAATCATTTTGTTTCTTTACTCATTAAATATGAACATATTAAACTGTATCACGCAGGCCCGCAATTAGTTCTTTCAAATCTTCGTTTGAAATATTGGCCATTAAACGCATTACGAGAGATAAAAAAAATCATACATGAATCTGTGACATGTTTTCGATTTAAAGCTAAACCTGCTACTCGACTGATGGGAAATTTACCCCCTCAAAGAATATGTACAGTACGCCCATTTTTAAATGTAGGGATTGATTTTGGTGGTCCATTCTCAATTAAAGAATCTCGTATAAGAAAAAGCACAATCCATAAAATTTGTGTGTATGAATACAAAGGCAATACACTTAGAAATGGTAACTGATCTAACTATGGACGCATTTCTAAGTTCATTAAAAAGATTTATTGCCTGTCGTGGAAAACCCGTCACTATATTTAGTGATAACGCTACTAATTTTAAGGGAGCTAATAATGTTCTAATTGATATTTTTAAGTTTTTTAAAGCCAATACTAATTTATCTTTTATTCACGATAACCTAAGTAATCTCCATATACAGTGGAAAGACATTCCTGCAAATAGCCCACACTGGGGCGGACTCTGGGAAGCCGGAATTAAGGCTACTAAATTTCATTTGCGGAGAATTATGGGAAACATTGTTTTGAATTATGAACAATTTTTAACTATATTGGCAGATATTGAAAGTATTCTTAATTCACGTCCACTCTGTCCGGTATCTAATGATCCTACAGATTTCACTTGTTTAACCCCTGGTCATTTTTTAATAGGAGAACCTATGACAGCCATTCCTGAGAGAGACATATCGGGTGTTCCGGAAAATAGACTAAAATTTTGGCAACACTGTATTAAACTTAAGCAACACTTCTGGCTAAGATATTCCAAAGAATATCTTAACAGACTTCAAAATAAGCCTAAATAGCATAGTTCTATATCAAATTGAAAGGTAAATACTCTAGTGCTTTTAAAAGAGGATAACGTACCTCCGCTACACTGGGTGTTAGCACGAATTGTGGAGATAATGCCAGGTCCTGACAACAAAGTTCGTGTAGCAAAGGTTAGGACCGACCAACAACGGTATTTATACTCGTGCTATTTCTAAACTTTGTCCTTTGCCGTTTGAAAAATAATTTTTCTTTATTTCGGGGGAGGGGGGTACGATGTTGCAATTCAAAAAACCTGATAACCCGACACTGGCTAGTTGTCGAGAGTATCATCAGCTAAGCATTCAAATATAATTTTTTGTGTTGCATAATCTGCACCTCTTGCGTTTCGTCAATGGTCATCACTTCTCATCTAGCATTCCATAGATACACTTCTCGTATCGATTTTAATAACATTCAATTTAAACACAATATTCAATTAATATTAAATTAAAATACAGACAGTTGTCATTCCATCAAAGCAGTTTTTATATACAATAAAAATAAAAGTGACTAGTTTTGTTCAACAATGAAGGGTTTTTAATTCCAAACCACCCCGCATCTCACACAGTTTGAACCGTATCCAGTAATCAGAAAAGAGTTCAAACACTCCATAGACAACTCAGTTGACCCTCTATAATGATGTAAGTCCGAGTCGCTCAATATAAGCCTTTCAGAGCCATCCCTTCCCAAACTCGATTTCACCCAACAGAGCCTATCTTTGGAACCATGGTACTTGTATGATTTTTGTTCCCTTTTTTGTCTTACTCCAACCATGAGTACGCTTGTTGAGTGACTTTTAAAATTAAACATCTAGGTACCCCGGGTGCAGTTGTGCCATCTTGGGTTCTCGAAAAGGAAAAACAAATTCTGCAGAGCCCGGGCTGGCACAGCTATGCTAAAATAACTCCAGGAAAACCTTTTAATCAGAAGAATTACTCCGCTTCTAATTTTTTTGTTCTCTGTTGGCAACTTAATTTATTCTGGTAAAAGATTGCTCAACAAATATGATACTCTTCTTACTATTTTAAATAATGTACTTTTCGATATATTGAATATGTGCGCCACATCTCTGAAGCAAACAATGAAAACACAATAATATATTTTAAACTTTTTCTAAATTACGTTTTAGGTAATTGTAATATTCAGATTCCTCAAAACAGTCAGCCAACTCCTGGATTTTTGTTTATTAATAGGCAAAATATTCTAGAAATTGTTTATAGGTAAATTCTGGAACAACTTCTTCAAAATACCCAATTATTTTTGGTATTTCAAATGGACCAAACACATCTTGGAGATTATTATCACTTGATTTAAAATAATCAGGGATGTTAAATAATTTTATGCATTAAAACAAAATAACCTCACATAAAAATAGAAACTAAACGAAGTTATGAATATTTTTTTTTTACCGTTTTTATAATAATCTTTAATTTTGTTCAATAAATTAGGATTTCAACTGCCTATTAAACCAATCATTATTGTTTTGTGTTTAATTGCCTATTTTTCGATATTTATATTTTGTTGGGCATGATGACATAGGGAGTATGTCATCTTGCCCGCACTGTAAAATTTGTGGGTTTAAGCTATATTTTTGTTTTTAGATGGTTAGTAACTATAAAAGGAAAAGCAACAGAGGGTCATGTCGACAAGCGACATGCGGCAAGCCTTAATAGCTGTCGCAGAGAAACAATTGGGCTGGCATATGATTAGCAAACATTTTAATGTACAAGCAACTCTTTGTCGGTGAGCCAACAATAAAAAGAAAATAGCGATTGATATAAAAAAACATCTCGGTCGACATGAAGTATCACTAAACGCTGATCTAGAAAAGGCTTTAGTGGAACACATTTTGTCTTTACAATTCAGGTTTTTGGATTATCCACAAAAGATTTACGAAAATAAACCATCAGTATAATAAGAAAAGAAGAATAGTAGGCAAGGCATGGTTACGTTCGTTTCGTTTTCGCAATAAAAATATATCATTACGTCGCCCACATCAATGGCAAGGACAGAAGCTTTTAATAAACCCCAGGTGGTAGAAAACTATTTTCTGAATCTAGAACATACCAATAATAAGGAAAATATTGACTCTTCTATGATTTTTAATATGGACGAATCTGCAATAACTATAGTGCAGACACAACCAAGAATTTTTGCATTGAAAGGCAAAAAGCAAGTTAGTTCAATTACTAGTGGAGAAAGGAGTATTCATTCTTCCGTGGTAGTTTGCATGAGTTCAGCAGGAAGTTGCATCCCACCTGCAATAATTTTTCCTAGGAAAAAATATAACCCAACCTTATGTGATGGCACCCCTGTTGGGACTTTGCTGTTAATCAATGAATATGGATACACGACTGGGGAATTATTTATGAAATGGGTGCAGCATTTTATTGCTTATGTTAGACCAACACCAGAAAAGAAAGCTTTGCTAATATTAGACGGACATGTTAGCCATAAAAACGTAGAAGCCTTAGACCTAGAGAAACAAAACTCAGTAGTACTATTTTGCCTTCCATCCCACTGTACGCACAAACTGCAACCATTAGACGTTTGTTTTTTTGGGCTCTAAAGCAAATATTACGACGCAGCCGTAACTCAGTAGTTAAAAACTCACCCAAGTCGTCCTATTACATTATATCAAGTTGTTTTCCTTGTATGTCATCTTGCCCTACGCGGGGTAGAATTTCAACCATATGGTTTGGTAGAAAATTTAATAATAAATTACCGAAATTTTGGTTTGATTTGACGTTATCAGATGATCAATGGAAATCCATTTCTCCGCTTACAAAACTATATAAAAGAAAATGTCCAGTGGAAAAACTTATAAAGTGCTTAATGCTGGCTGGACTGATGTCATTTCCGAAGCTTGTTTTTTAAAGAATAAACTTCCATGTGCCTATACTTTTAAATATAGTAAAATTTCTGAATATCCAGAAGCAAAAACTTATTTAAAAATTTATAGGTTAAGTAACGAATGCTTTCTGCTTATTTGAACCCGCTCCTGGTACTGGTATCGTCTTAAGAGTTCACACAGTCGATACCTCTGGAATACCGTATGAGAAGAAACGAGTGTTAAAAGAACAAACTCGAATAGCTGTTGGGGAAAAACTTTTAAACAGGAAGCCCAGTCAATAGAGAAATGATGCGGTACAAGATTTATTTTATGATGGCCCCGAACCACCGCATGTTGTGAGACAATGTACGTTATTAAAAATAAAAGAAGAATCTGTTATGCGTAATTTAGGAATCACTAGAAACCTTGATCCTACTAATTAACTGAATTAAAATACATAGGAAAATATAAAGGCTATATAAAAGAGATTTCTAAAGATAACTTTTTATCGTTTCTATTGGTCTCCCAAAACAAATGGACTTGTATAAAACTAATTAAAAAATTAAAAACAAATGAAATAGATGCAACGGGTAAATTAGTAAAATCAATTGAAAAAATAAATGGCGAAAAGAGACATATATTTTTATACCAAATTATAATAAAAGGTGAATATTGAATTCAACCAGTATTTTAAATGATATCAGAAAAACATGATACAAATTTAATCACATACTGGTTAAGAGAGGTCATGAGACATGAAGCACCAGTACCTCCGGAAGTGAATTGTGATTATTCAATGGCACTTGTAAATGCTACAAGTTTGGCTTTCAACAAACGCAGCTTAAAACATGATAATAATTGCTACCGTTGGATTTGTACCGAGACATTGAGTATCCCATGGCCAACTACAACTACAGGCCGAAGCATTGGAGATCTGGCAACACTGAATAGAGGGCCGATGATATTTAAGGTTAAACGAGTAAATAAACATTCTTAGCTCTCATTTCCCATTCATTTGTTGTTTGAAATTGTTTGAGTTGAAATTATTGTGTTGTGCGAAATTAAATAAACGATCAGTTAATTTGTTCTTAATTGCAAAGGTATGTTTATACAAAATATAGATATTAATAATTATTTCACTATAAATGTGCTCAGTTCTCAAAATATTCTAACCAATTAATTTTGTTTTATAGATGCCTGCAAAGTGTTCAGTGCCAAGTTGTACTAGTAATTATGCCTCTAGTAAGAACGAAGGATACATCACTATTTTTAAATTTCCTCAAGAAGTAGAACTACGACTGAAATGGATTAAAAGTATCCACCGTAAAAATTGGAAACCTACCAATAATTCAGTGGTTTGTATTAAACATTTCTATGAAGCAGACGTTTTATTTACTGAAAGCTACATAGACAAAGAAGGAGTTTCTAGAACATTTCCAAGGAAAAGACCCATTTTAAAAGAAAATGCTGTTCCAAAAATATTTCCTGGCTTACCGAAGTACCTTACAGTTCAAGAGGGTCCAAGTAGACAGAGTCCTCGTGATAGACAAAATATTATCATTAAAAGGCAGGAGGAACAGCAAGATGTATGGCTCAAAGGTGATGTTATAACAAGCTTTGGTAGTTTTTCTGAAAACGTTACAAAGAAGTTAGTTTCATCTTTACAGAAGTGGAAGTGCCACCAACAAGTCGATTATGTTTATTTTTATTTAATAAACTTTGATCTTAGTGAGCCAAAAATAATATGTAGTGTTAAAATTTTAGTGACCATGGAAGTACAGGTACGCATTAACAAAAATTTAATATTAAAAGAAGATTTAAGTTGGGTATTACCATCATCTTTAAAATTATCCCGTTGGTCACAAATTGAAAACATTCTGTCACGTTATTCTAAAGTAGAAATAGTTAATGATAAAATAGAAACAATAATAAATCATTTCAATTGCGTTATACAACAGTTAAAAGATAAACTTGTAGAACAGGACGAAAATAGCAAAATAGAACAGGTTGAATTTTTAACAGAACACTTTAATCTTTTATTTGCAAAACGTAATAGATTTTCTGCAAATTTACTTTTAAATTCATTTCTTCTTTATATTCAATCAACAAAAGCATATAATACTGTACGATTTAATAAACTGTTAATTTTACCACATCCTAAACACTTGCTAAAACTGTCTAGATCCCTGAAAATTTCGCCAGAGAGTCCCTTAGAAAATGAACACTATATTAAAACAATTGCAGAAGGTTTAACTGAATTAGAAAAATATGTTTAGCCCAATCGGATTAGGTGAAGAACAGGCTTGAGATTCTGAAAAATTCGAAGCAGCAATTTTCCTTCGGAATTCGTTGGAGGGGGTCTGTGGTAGTCTAAATTCAAAACGTTGGGATTCCAAAGTTGTCGTTACCTCCGCCAGCTTGATTTAAAGGGTTATTTTTTGTATCTTGAATAACTCATTTATTTTCAATTTTACACGGAAAATAGTTTTTACAAAAGTTATTTAAAATTAAATTTCCTACAATTCTGCTTTTTTTGTACGATCGATTTTTTTGGATTTATACCCGAAAAGAGGGGGTGAATTTTTGGTTATAGAATAACTCGTTTATTTTCAATTTTACGAGAAAAATTGTTATAAAAAAAGTTGTTTAAAATTAAATTTCCTACAATTCTGTTTTTTTTTGTACGCTCGATTTTTTTGTATTTATCCCTGAGAAGAGTGGGGGTAAACTCTTATCATTGTATTATCACGTTTCTTTTTAATTCCAGGTATACAGACGTCATTGACGTTTCGATAGACTTTTAAAAGTGTACTGAAAAGAAAATAAATTTCATTTTTTTAATTGTAAAAATTATACTGTTCGATAAACTGATTATTTACACCCCTCTTTTCCTTTACCGTGAACGTGCGACCCAACAATATAAACTTTAGAAAAAATCGGAATCATAATTGTACCAAATAACATTTTTGAAAATCAGCAAAAAAAAAACAAACAGAAAAAATAATGGTACAACATCAATAATAAACGTGACAATACAATACTTAGGTTCACCCCCACTCTTCTCAGGGATAAATACAAAAAAATCGATCGTACAAAAAAAAAAACAGAATTGTAGGAAATTTAATTTTAAACAACCTTGTTTATAAAAATTTTTCTCGTAAAATTGAAAATAAACGAGTTATTCTATAACCAAAAATTCACCCCCTCTTTTCGGGTATAAATCGAAAAAAATCGATCGTACAAAAAAAAGCAGAATTGTAGGAAATTTAATTTTAAATAACTTTTGTAAAAACTATTTTCCGTGTAAAATTGAAAATAAATGAGTTATTCAAGATACAAAAAATAACCCTTTAAATCAAGATGGCGGAGGTAACGACAACTTTGGAATCCCAACTTTTTGAATTTAGACTACCAGAGACCCCCTCCAACGAATTCCGAAGGAAAATTGCTGCTTCGAATTTTTCAGAATCTAAAATACTAATCCGATTGGGCTAGTTGTTTTACAAATAGATGAAATATATGTAAAACAGACCATGGATTATAAAAATGGTAATGTAGTTGATTTTGCTGAAAATTACATATTATCTGAGGCAAAAACTGTTCAAACTTTTTTAATAGCTTCGGTATTTGGCAAAATGAAAGAGGGTGTTTCTCTTCAAGCTGGCAGAAATGTAAACGGGGAGAAATTACGTGAAATGGTTTTAGTTATTTTGCAAATTTTAAAAAAATATGGCTTTAAAATAATTACTGTAGTTATACAGACAATGCTAGAGTGAACCAAAATATGCTGCTAAAATTAACAAATAAATCTTCTGATAAATATTCATTCCCATTAAGTCCAGATTACCCTACATTTGTTATGTATGATACAATGCACATTTTAAAAAATATTAGAAATAATTGGCTAAACCTAAAAAATTTTACAAAATCGTTTGTATTCCCTCATTTTTATGACCATGAAAATATTAAGAAAGCAAATTTTTTAGATGTTAGGAACTTGTATAAGTCGGAAGCAAATTTTTTAGTAAAAACAGCACCCAAATTAAATTTCAAAACCGTGTATCCCTTAAGTATTGAAAGACAGAAAGTATCATTAGTGTGCAATATTTTTCATGAGACAAAACATGCTGCTTTAATATCTGCTAATGAGGAAACTGCTGAATTTGTTAATATTATTATAAAATGGTGGTCAATTATTAATATTAAAAGTACTCTTCTGTACAAATTTAAGAGAAATGATTTTTTAAAACCATTTGAAGATCCCTTGATGAGAGAATAACATTTTTAGAGTCCTTTTTGATTTGGCTTGATAAATGGAGATCTTTAGAAAATAGTCTCAACAACTGTAATTATTAAGTTAATTAAATATTGTTTATCAAACATTTCTTGTAAATACTTATTAACTGGGAAATTTCAAACTGATAATTTAGAGTCTAGATTTGGAAACTACAGGCAGTTGTTATGTTAGTTTAAGGCAAATATATGAATCGGAGAAAAAAATTAGAATAAAAGGGCTTTTTAATCTGCACTCAGCTCAATATGGTCAAATTAAATTTAATGTCGCTAATTTGGCACAATTACAAATAAGTGATGAAAGTGACAAACAAATAAATATTTCTGAATTTGTAGAAATAACAGAAATGAGGTCAATCGGCACAATTCACCACCACATATCAGACTCAGCAATTCAATATATAGCTGGTTATGTTAGTTTTAAAGTTTCAAATAAATTAAAGTGTGCATGCTGTATAAGTGCTTTTATTTGTGAAGAATCAAAAGAACAGGATGAACAAAGTTATTTTGAAATATTAAACAGGGATGGATTAACTGTTCCATCTGAATTTGTTTTGCAAGTTACTACTTATGTTCACAACACATTACAAATTTTGATTTCAGAGTCATACGAAGCAAAATTTTTAAAATGTGGATCTCAAAAGTTACTTTTAATAACATTACTGAAAGAATATATGAAAATAAATAATGACAAATATCTTTTTCGTTATTTTTATTCCTGTAATCAGCCTCAAACTAAAATTTTACTTAATTTAATGTTACCTATTTTAGCTAATATTTTTATAAACAATTATGTAAAAACAAGGCAAGATTCAATTCTTATCAATGAACAACAAGACAAGATAAATAAGTCTCAGGGAATTAAATGTCCAAAAAAAGAAAAATTTCTAAATTTAAGTAATCCATAGTAACTAGACCTGGTATACTTCCCTTTATTTTAGGATTATTTGTTTAAAATGTATGTATTTATGAAGATTTTAGAGATAAGTGCCATTTATATGTCATTAAAGTAATCCTTTTTCGGAAAACCTTTTATTATTTCCTTAAAACTATTATTGTGTTCTTAACAGCAAAAAATTTCATTTGGTAAATACATGTTTAATCTCTATTTATACTATTTATGATACAAAGCTTATTATTTACCTACTTCCTACATACACATTTAGGTATTTAAACCCATAAAATAGGTGATTTTATTTTTTAATCCATTAGTATCATGGATTAAATTATATATTCTTTTAAATTCCGTGCCATTTCACCTGCCTTCTATTTGACATTACGACAGTGTTGCCAAATTCAATGCGCCGGCCTGTTAGTTGTAGGTGGCCATGAGTATCCTCTTCAATGTTATTGATATTGCTCATTTAACTAAACTTATTTGTAATAAAAATATTTTTGATATAAAAATAAAGGATTTTTTCATAAGATGTGTGGGGATAATGTCAACATGTGATAATATTAAATATTTTGTTATATTACTTAGTTGAATATTTATTATAACGTATTATAACGTAATTTGTGCAGAAAAACAGCTGTATTTGTTGAAAAGAATAAAATCATTTACCTTTGCTAGCGATGATAACGATAGAAATTATGATTTTAATTTTGATGCTTTTAATGAAAACAATAACTTCGTTTCATTTATAAATAATATTAATCAAGTCGCTAGCACAATAAAGGAAACGGACAGGTTTATTGCTTTTTATTGTCCAGAATTAGTTACTTATTTAGTTAAATTGGCAAAACACTTTCCTATATGGACATAAGTAATGACTTAATATTTTTCCTTGTCATCAAATGTAGCAACCTCTTCTAGATGTGAAGCATATTTTAAAGACTTAAAACACTCTGACTTGGGATCAAATTATGAACCAATGCGCGTAGGTAGATAAATTTGTTGTTCGCCATATCACATCTATTGAAAGCATATCAAAATTAGAAAATGCTGCACTAAAACGTGCCAATGAAAAAACCACTTTCTTACAAAATAAAATGAAAACAGAAAAAATTGGAAAAAATAATTCTAGTAAAAGTGTAAATAATATTATTAATTATGATGAAATATTTAAATACGAGAGCACATGAAAAACCAAATAAACTACAAGATATACAGATTTCAACTGATAATTTGGTACACGATTCAATCCCAAATAGTATGTTGATTAATATAAATCAAGAAAAAGATAAAAATAATAAAGAAAGGTACAAACAAAAAACACAAATAAATGTAAAACATATGCACTTAAGTGAACAGTCTCTTTTAAGGCAAAAAGGAAATTATTTAAGGCCATGTCCAGATATTCATCTTACCTATGACAGACCGTTAAAGAAAAGAAAATACCAAATTTTAAAAAACGGAAATAGGGTAGTGGCACCAAAGTGCCTGGTATTAAGATACTTGTGAATTGAAGATACCTGTAAATACGTTAATATCTTTATTAATTTATAGTTTTATGCTTTGTTTACGATTTCTGCTAACAGAGGACGCCATGTTTAAAAATCCGAACGTTTTATGATCGCGTGTTTGCTGTCAACCTGTTTAAAGACATTCGTTAACGCAAGTATTAATAACGGCAGTACCTAATTTATTTAAGCTACCAAACACAAAGTTTTTATTTTTCCCGAAGATTTATTGTTTGTGGTGTTGTATAAGGTATGTATTAACCTTGTTATTTACTAACAAAGAGGACTGCTTAAATTTTAGATATTTTAGGTTAGGTGTCAATTATAGGATCTTAAGTTCATATAAGTCCCCTTAATGGGCACAATGTCCATTTAAGGAAAAAAATGTCTTTCAGTTGATTTTAGTTGAAATTAAATGACTATAAAAAATGCTGTTAATATAAATAACAGTAAATTGTTAAAAAGAAATCCAGTGTTGGATATTATGTCCATTTAGAGATAATTGGGTATGTTCATGATTGGTTCATTCATTTTTTTCAGATTTCAACATAATGGATAAAAAGAAATTTAGGAAATATACCATTGAAAATATGGCAGAAGCATTAGCCGTAGCAAAGGCAGGCATTCTCATTAAAAGATTCGCGTGTTCCACGCATAACTTTGCAAAATAAACTAAAAGGCATCAGTCCCGAAATTTGCAATATGGGACCTCCAACGATTTTATCGACTAAGGTGGATTGTTAATATTGCAAGGGCCGGCTTTCCCGTGACAAAACAGTGTTTAACTGATACCGTAGCAAAACTTATAAAAGAGTTAGGCCATAAGAATCCATTTTCTGACGGTATTCGAGGGAAAAAATGGTTTAAGTCATTTTTAATGAGGCATCCAAATATTTCCCTAAAAACACCTGAAAAGCTAACAGTCTATCGTTGAAAGCTTACTGAAGGCGATATACGTAACTGGTTTAAAGAAGTTTCCAGTTACTTGAAGGAAAATTATTACTATCATATTTTAGAAAATGGAGATGGCATTTTTAATGCTGATGAGACAGCAATTTCCTTATGCCCTAAAACTGGCAAAGTTTTGGCCCCAAAGGGAATTAAAAATATATACGATGTTTCAAAAACTTCAGAAAAAGAGAACCTCACAGCATTGATTACAGTTGCAGCATCCGGAAACATGGCGCCTCCTATGGTAGTTTATCCATACAAGAGAACGCCTTCAGAAATTGCCAAAAATTTTCCATGGCTAACGGAAAATAATATCGAACGCCCTGTAATTTTTTTGTCCCATTTGACTCTATACCTCAGTATGTTTTTGCGTGAAAAAGAAATTATTTTAGTAGCATTTTTTCCAAATGCTACCCATGTAATGCAGCCTCTCGATGTGGCGGTCTTTTATCCACCAAAAAGTAAATGGAAAATTCATGTAAGAAAATGGCTCACTGAAAATGAAAACCAGCAATTGATGAGACATCATGTTGCCAAACTACTGGAAACTATTTTAAAAGATGCCATGTCTCCGGATACGATTAAAAATGGGTTTCGAGTTTGTGGTCTTTATCCCTTTGGTGCAAACAACGTGGATTACTCCAAAATATTACACAAACAACACACAAAAGAAGCAGGCGATACCAATAAGCAAGATAACGTGATGAATGATGACATTAAAAACTGCTTAAAAATTTTGGAAGCGAATATTTCAACAAATGTACTTTAAATTATTAAGTAACACATTTTAGAAGACGAATGGAGTGGACCTGAGTCAACAAAAGACTTGTTTAATACCTGGAAAAGAATTCAAAAATTGAATAGTGCTAGCGTCTCAGAGAAAATGGTAATATAATTGACATAAATACATCTTTAAACTTCTCATTAGAAATCGACGATAACACCCACGAATACACCCAAAATAAAGAACACGTTCCTCAAGAAGTTAATAAAGCCTCTGAAGAAGTTTCACAGGAAATCTGGCAAAAAATAATTGAGGATTTACATGTTACAACTGAGTCGGATAAAAACCACATAACCCCAGAAGAATATCATCAAGTTCATGCTGCCATAACATTTCAAAAGAAAAACCAACAAACTCCCGATAATGCAAAGCCTTCAACATCAAAAACAATTGATCCTTCTATAAGTAATGCTTATTTTCAACCACATTGCCAAGAAATTGTTAACGTAACATAGCACACTGGTGAATCTCAATTTAAAAAATATCTTTTTTGGCCCAAGGAAGAACAAATGCCTCAGAAAAAAATGAGGGAAAAACCACGTTCAGTTATAACATCTGATTTTTGGTTACATGAACAACAAAAGAAAGAAGCACTTAAATTAGAAAAAGAGCAAGAAAAAGAAAGCCAGAAAAGAGCAAGAGAAAAAAATTACAAGTCAAAAAACCAAAAGGCGTAAAGAAGAAAACTCAAACAAAGGGTAAAGATTTTAGACTCCTAATGTTAAACTGGAAGTGCCAAACAGCATGGAAGGACCAGCATGTATTAGAGAGAAAAGCTAAATGGCTTTCATGTATTAGCTGCCCAAATAAGATTCATAAAATGTATGTTCCTCTTAAGTATATGAATAGCCTTGGAAATACTTACGCAGATGCTGAAGAGGACGAACAGTTTGTATGCGAAAAATGTGGTATCACTATTGATAATAGTGATAATAGTGATGCTCTATCAGTGAGGACGAAGAAGAATATTAATGATTATAAAAGTCATTTATCTCATTTATTTATTTACCAAGATATTATTTTCTTGTTTTAAATTTAAATCGATAATAATTATATTATTTTGTATACTTTTATGTGTTTATTATTTATTTTATTTTTTTATACATTCCTAATTATTTTTTAAATCATAAATATCAATTTATCATGTTTTAAACAGAATAGTAATAAAACAAAAAAATTGTCAATTAATGGTTCTACAAGTGTCCAAATTAGGATTTATGAAAAAAACGACTGTCCATTTCTGGAGAAAAGGCATATGTAAAAATTAAATTAATTATTACATTCTTAACGTGATTTAAGAAAAACTACTGCTATAGTATTTTGTACTGATTGAAATGATAATACCCGCGTATTAATATTTTTATGATAAAGGGTTGACGTTACAAAAAAAATATCTTGACATGAACTGAATTAAGTAACAAAAAATATGAATGCATAGAAACTAAACATTAACGACTATGAAGACTAGTCTTCATACTAACGACTATTTTATTATGCAGTATATAAAATGGTCTATTAAATATATAACAATTCTCCCCCTTGTAATTTCTGAGACATTCAATAGGTTAATCTTTGAATGGGATTACGGGTTCTAGTGGATCTCCTCAAAACCTCCGGTGGTTTGGACGGATGTGACGGTATTTGCTTTTCTTGATTCTCTTGAAGACGTGGATCGGGGTTTTCTTTATTAATTGGTTTATATTCAAGGTCTCGAGTCAGGTCAGTTATTTCAGTCTGGCTAGTTTCTTTTCGATGGTCAAGATTCGTCTCGTGATCTTTAGATTCCAAGGGTACACTTAATTCGTTTGATATCACTGTATCATCAATATCATTATGCTCACTAGTATTTGAAAAAATATTAGAATGGTAAACATTGCTGGGACGAAGTTGGTCATAATGACGTTTAATTTTATATCCATCATCTAGTTCCACTAGATAATGTAGTCGACCTAAACGTTGAATTACTATGCCATACTTCTACTTAATGGGTGTTGAATAGTTTCTAGATTGTACCCGGTCACCTACATTGAAGGATTTTTTTAAATCTATTAGTATACTGTTGTTTTCCTTTGATTTATGCCGTAGCAAATCTAATTTTGTCCTAATATTTCTTCCAAATAAATTTTCAGATGGTGACTTTCCTGATGATAATGGTGTAACCCGGTACCTAAACAATATTCTGCATAATTTTTCATGAAGATCTCCTAGTTCGTGCATCATTCGTATAAGTTTTGCCTTAAGTGTCTGACAGTATCTTTCTGCTTGCCCGTTTGTAGATGGATGGCCTGGTGCAATGAATCTCTGACTTATCCCATTTCTTATACAAAAATCTGCGAACTCTTTAGATTTGAATATTGAAGCATTGTCACTCACCAACATTTCAGGTAGACCCATACGACTAAAAATCTCTCTGAGATAATAAATAGTATTTTTGGTCGTTGGAGCACTTTTCATCGTCATGATCTCTGGCCATTTAGATTTGGCGTCAACAACAATCAAAAAGTGGTGTCCTAAAAATGGACCTGCCTAATACATGTGTACTCTTTGCCAGTTTCTTTCAGGACATTCCCAATGGTGTATGGGTGATTTTGTTGGATCTTTTTGAACGTTACTACATGCTAAACAACTTTTAACTAAATTTTCAATATCAGTCAATGTTTTTCCAATAACAATAGTTCCGGGCCAGTGCTTTCGTCTTAACGATTCCTAAATGCGTAGAGTATAGTTCTTGTAGAATAGATGGTTGCAAGCACTTTGGTATAATAACACGGTGACCTCTGAAAAGTATACCATCTTGTAGAGATAACTCAGGATCTCTTCTATTTCCTTGAAGTAATTCTTCTTTGAGTATAGATAATTCAGGATCATGTTTTGTTTCTTCTATTATACGTTCAGCGGTTATAGTATCTGTACTTATTTTATAAAATAGATCAATATTTGTTAAATATACGCTATCGATATATTTTTCTTCTTCTGGAGTTAATTTTAAAGGGTTTCTTGAAAAATAATCTGCGTTTGAATGTTCTGATGACTTCCTACATTCGATGTCATAGTTGAATCCAGCTAAAAACTGCGCATAACGTAACATTCTAGTTGCTGATAAGGTTGGTAGTTGTCTTTGCGGATTTAAAATTGTAAAAAGTGGTTTATTGTCAACAATTAACGTAAATTTACGTCCGTAGATATAATGAAATAGTCTTTTACAAGCCCAGTATATTGCAGTAGCTTCTTTGTCTAGCTGACTGTAATTCTGTTCGGCTTTAGTTAAAGATCTGGATATAAAAGCTATTGGCCTTTCTGTACCATCTTGGAATCGATGAGATAAAACGCCTGCCAATCCATATGGACTCGCATCTGTTGCCAAGATGACATTTAGGTCTGGATTAAATGGTATTAACACCCGATCACTTGCAATTTCAGACTTAGCTTGAAGAAAGGCTTGTTCACAGGATTTATTGCATTTAAAGGGAACATTTTTTCTGAGCAAGCGGTTTAAAGGATGAAGAACAGTTGAAGCATCTGGAATAAACTTAGAATAGTACATTATTAGTCCTAAAAACTGTTGAACTTCTTCTTGATTTTTGGGCCGAGGTGCATTCTGGACTGCTTGAATTTTATCGTTTGACTTCTGTGGGCCTCTACTAGATATAGTGTGACCCAAATATTCTATCTTTTTTTCGAAAAACTTACACTTATTTTTATTAAGGTGAAGGTTGTATTTGCGTAGTCTTTCCAATACCTTAATTAGTCGAAGTGTACATTGAGATATAGACGAACCCTGGACCAGTATGACATCGAAATACAGGGTCGTTCCTTCTAAATCATGAAAAATCTGGTCTAATATTTTGTGAAATTCATTGGGTGCTGTTTTTATTCCAAAATATAATCTATTGGCTAAATAGGTACCTCGATGTGTTGACAGGGCTTGAATTTTTGAGCTTTCGTTATCAACTTGAATGTGTAAATAAGCTTAATAGATATCTAAGATATAGAAGTATACTCAATTTTCCATTTTATTGAAAATATCTTCTATTCTGGGTATAGGGTAGCGATTATCTTGAAGTTGACTATCAACAGTAACTTTATAGTCGGCACAAATTCGAACTTTACCATCTTTTTTAGGTATTATGACTAAAGGAGTACCCCACTCTGAATAATCAACTTTCGTAATTATACCTTCTTGTTCCAAGGAATCAAGTTCTTTGTCAACTTCTTCCTGAAGTGCATAAGGTACTCTTCGAGGTTTTAAAAAGACTGGTTTAGCATCAGAACGAAGTTTTAGTGGTGTACATTTGAAATTTGGAACAGCGCCAACTACTGGTTTAAAAATATCTTGAAATTGACTTAAAATATTTATGAGAGAAGGTGGTGTAGATGAGACTCATGAAATGCTATACAAATCTACTTCTAGTTCTCTTATCCATCTTCTTCCAATAATAGCAGTACCATAATTTGAAACGATGTACAGATCCGCCGTGATAGTTTTGTGATTATATGTAACTTGAACTCTGGCAAAGCCTATTGGCTTGAATAGATGTTGCGTATACGATCTAAAGTAAACTTCAGTTTTTTGAATGGGAATGTCCAATTGCAATCGATGATAATCTTTTTGAGAAATAATGCTGACAGGACTTCCCGTATCACATTCAAATTGGAAGGATTTACCTTGAATATTTAATTCAATAAACATTTTTGGCTCAAACACAGATGCAGATCCAGAGAAAACGTCGATAATTTGATTAATTGAAAAATCTTCGGTATCAGAACTATCGGAATCGAAATCAATGTTTTGAACAGACTGTCGGTATTTTAAAAGACTGGTTATACATACTTTATCGATGTGACCTTGTTTTTTGCAACTTTTGCATTGAAGTTTGTTTACTGAAAGGCACTTTGAAGTTATGTGATTTGTTTTACCACAGTGTAAGCATATTCCTGCTAGTCCTAATTTTTGTAAATTGACTGTGTCGGATCTGGTTTTATGTTTCTGGTTCGTAGAAGAAAGATTTGTTTTACTGGATCGAGTGCGTTCATTTTGTTGTGTATTAAGTTGATTGACTAAATTTGAAGTTGAAGGAATACTTCTATATAGTTCCCTGTTCTGAATTCTTGCAGTTTCGATTGATAATGCTGTTTATATGGCCTTTTCGAAGGAAACATTGACCAATTGAAGGATTCTTTCACGGATTGTTGTGTCGAGGAGACCTCTTATAAACTGAGCTCTTAGAAGCATGTCGATTACAGATTTAGTGCATTGAATACTGTTGCATTCAGATTTAAATTCACAATTTTTAATTAAGTCTTTTAGTTCGGCAACATAGCTAGCGATAGATTCTCCTGGAGTTTGAATGCGAGAAAAAAATCTATGTTCCGACAATACATTAATTTTAGGAGATAAGTGGTTTTTTAGAAGGCTCATAAGTTCTTCGTAAGTTTTTGAAGCAGGAAGACCTGGGGATGTTAAATTAGATAGCAATTTGTAATGTCTACTACCAAGACAATTAATAAGAACCATTACTTTTGCTTCGTTGGTTTCTTCATTATTTTTACTTAATCCTTTTAATTTGAAAAAAATTTGCAAGCGTTGAGAATAAGTATCAAAGGTTTCCGCTGATTCATCGAATGACTCAAATGAAATGGCTTGTGTCTGGAGAACATCTCTTGTCTTTGTTGGTGCTGGAGAGTTGAGATTAACCCACTGAGAGCGTCTATTAGAGGGGCTAACTTCTCAGCCATACTTTGGACTCGTTCTTCTAGTTAGACTGAAGATTATTTTACGTACTTTTTCCAATCGTCGCCAAATTATTTTGTACTGATTGAAATGATAATACCCGCGTATTAATATTTTTATTATAAAGGGTTGACGTTACAAAAAAAATATCTTGACATGAATTGAATTAAGTCACGCAAAGAAACTAAACATTAACGACTATGAAGACTAGTCTTCATACTAACGACTATTTTATTATGCAGTATATAAAATGGTCTATTAAATATATAACATATAGTATAGGCAAAAATAATATATAAGCTTAATTTTGCTATGTGTATGATTAAAACAAAACGTTTACTGTGGCAGTTTCAGGCAATTATGTTTAAATTATATCTAAAAGTGTCCATAACTGGTGCCACTACCTACTTGTAATGTAGTTCTTTTTAATGGCAACAGGGTTTATGTTAAGAATACATGTGCGTTTAACAACTGCTTACTGCAATTATTCAAAATTTAAGAATAGATTTAAATTCCGAAAATGTATTATTTCTAGCAATTATAAAATAATACTCCATTGAGGAGTTAACAAGAACGAGGTACTATCTTGTCAAAAACATTTGAATCAAACAATAATATTGTCGATTGTACTACCAATCCCAACTGGTTATTGACCAAAAGTGACAAAACTTTAAGGAAGTTGTCAGCAGTAGATTTATTTATATATATATATATATATATATATAACAAATTAAGGCCGGCGATCGCCCATGTTAATTTCCCGTATATGCAGAGGTTACTTTTGACGAAGGTTTCGGGAAAAGTATACTTCGTAGCATTAATTTTAATATAGAAATCATTTCATGAATAATGCCTACGGGTTGTAAAGAAATCTAAAGAAGCAGAGTTTTTTAAAAATACTCGAAAAATGACTTTGATCCTTGGTGTCAAAATCACATAGAAACCCTCGACTTGTCGACGTATTTACTTTAAAACTAAACATATTTAGACGTTTTCTTTTCTTTACCACCCGTACAACTAACATATCAAATAAATGAAACAAATTTTTTTTTTTTTGCTTTTGCTTTGAATATTGATCCTTTAGCCACACACAACATTTTAATGTTTAATTAAATGGAAATTTTATTTATTGAGATAAATTCTACTATTAAGTTGTAAATTTGTTTATTCTCCGTTGCCAGTAAAACTTGAATGTTGGTGGGAAATTGTAAATTTAACTTATTTAGTTTCTCCATGAAGTTAGTAGTTCCTGGATTTATTTTACAATTAAAAAACAGGTGATTCAAATCAGCAATTTCATTATCATGTTGACAAATAGGCAACTTTATTATTCCTATCTTATGCAGATGGGCCGGGAAACATCCATGGTTGATCTTAAGTCGTGTAATGATAGATGAGTATTTTTTTGAAACATTAAATAGAAATATGTGGGGAACCGGTTTTGGTAAATCCTTATGGATTAGAAAATAGGGGTTAGTAGAATTTATGGCTATCTCTGACCATTTTTCCTTCCATTTTTTGATTATATTTAGTTTATAACCACAAAATAAATCGCTATAACAAGGAATATTATCAAAATTAGTACAAACTCTTGCTTCTTTGGCTGCCACATCTGCTTTTTCGTTTCCATAAATACCACTGTGGCCCTTTACCCATATAAATATAACTTTGCAGTTCCTTAGTGAAAGCTGATATAGTAAATGTTTTATCTTACAAATGATGAAGTTTTTTGAATTATTCATTGAAAAGTGTTTAATGCTTTCCAATACGGATTTTGAATCTGTGGCTATAATTGTTTCTGCAATACTGTTGTCCAAGCACCAGGAGAGAGCTTTTTCAATTGCATTGGCTTCTGCGCTGAAAATACTACAAACATCCGGAATCCGACATTTAAAAGTTACTTCCCTATTAGGAATAAAAAATGCACTACCTACTCCTTGTTGGTCCTTACTTCCATCTGTGTATATAGTTAATTTAATATTTAATTTATCTATTGTTGTTAATAATAATTTTTGATTATAGGCGGGTATATCATTGTAATGGGGGAATATAACTAGCGATTTAGAGAAAATTGAGTTGTAATCAAATGTAAATGCTGGTATAGTTACTGAGGGATTTATGTACTTAACAATCTCCTGTGTGTATAGAAAGGCAGATGATAGTAAAGGTGAGTTCTTTTTACGCCAAAATTTGTTGGTTAGATCCTCTGTATTTAATAAATTTATTCGATTAACTAATGACGAGTTATATATTCTCAGTTTAGTTATGTGTTTGTTAGCTAGGTATTGTCGTCTAAGATATAATGGGGGTTCATTAGCTTCCGCCAGAATTACATTGCATGGAGATGATTTCATAGCTCCAATACAAAGTCGTATAGCTTTGTACTGGATTCTATCGACCTTTTTTAGATTTGTATTTGACGAAGACCCGTAAAGAATGCAGCCGTAGTCAATTATGGACCTAATAAACGACTTGTAGAATAAAAGTGCAATTGAAGGTGTGGCACCCCACGATTTCTTTGTGACACAACGCAATATATTAATACCTTTCTCGCATTGATTTTTCATATATTCTATATGCTGTGTCCAAAGCAATTTCGGGTCTAGTACCACTCCTAAATACTTATACTTCGCGACTATGGGAATCGACATATCTGCCAGATTAATATGTGTGTTTAATGTGATATGATGTCTAGTAAAGCACATAAACGCAGATTTTTCAGTTGACATTGTAAAACCCATCTCACTTAACCATGTTTTCAGTATTTGTAGTACTTCTTCAAAGTCGTTTAAACATTGGTTATAATTTTTACGGCTAACATAAATACAGATATCGTCGGCATACTGGACTAATTTAATATTATTATTGAACTTACTATGTAATTCGGACGTATATACGTTAAAGAGAATAGGACTAAGAATGGAACCCTGAGGGAGACCGTTGTACACTAATCTTGGACCATATAACTCGTTATTTTGATTTCTGATATATATTTTGCGCCCGTTAAACATTTCGGTTATATTATACGCTACCCTTCTATCAACACTAACCCTTAACAATTCTTTAAACAATATATTCAAATTGACTGAGTCATATGCCCCTTTTATGTCAACAAATAGACAAAGAAGATATTCGTTTCTAGAGAGAGATAATTGTATATCTGTGGTTAGTTCTGATAATACATCACAAGTACCCTGACCTCTCCTATAACCAAACTGTGAATGAGGAAGCAAAGTTTTGGATTCTAAGTGATATTCAAGCCTTAATTTGATCATTCTCTCAAATGTCTTGAGTACACAAGACATCAGAGATATTGGACGATAAGAAGAAGGTAATGCTGCATTTTTACCCGTTTTATATATTAAAGTAATGACCACTTTTTTCAGTTCTTCTATAATTTTTCCTTTTAGCCACCAGTCATTGAAAATATTTAAAATTAGTAACCTGGCAGATTCCGGTAGGTTATATAGCATTTTATACGTAAATCCATCTAAACCAGGAGAGGTGTTCTTTGAATTTTTTACAGACATATTTAACTCTGATATATTAAATGGTTTATTTAAGTCATTTGTTTCAATTTGAAGGTATTCATTATAGTTTAAGGGTGATTTACCGGGAACATAGGAGGGAGCATAATTATTTAATATTTGGGTTACGACTTGTTCAGAAATAGGAATTTTGTGACTTACTTTATTTTTATTTATCAATTTAACTATTTTCCAGATTTCAGATATAGATGAGCTTTTATTTAATTTATTAATATACGATTTCCAACTATCACGTTGTTTTTGTTTAAACAGCCGCTTTGCAGCAGCTTCAATATTTTTGTAAGATAAAAATTTTTCCAAATTGGATAAAGTTTTGTAACTTTTAAGCACATCTTTTCTTTTTTTAACCATATCCGTGCATTCGGTGTCCCACCAGCATGGTCGGATGGCTCTAGTGGTAAAAGGTTTATTTATAATCATGGTATTGTTGGCAGTGGTATTTAAGGTCTCGACTAATTTATTAAATTTTTCCAGAGTTGTCATGGAAGAAGTATAAAACCAAACCCATATCTAAGTGAAGATTTGTCCATAAACAATTTATTCATTGCAGACGGAGGGAAAAATCCATGGGTTATCGAAAATTTGTGCTTAGATGAGGCCACATTAAGACTAGGAAATGCTACTGACAATATATCCAAAGAATATGTGCTCAAAGTATTAAGCCCAAGAAACCCGTTTTCAGAACCAGCTGAGGAAGAACTACTATTCAACAAAGATATAGGTACATTAATAACTGCAGTAAGAGAGAACCCAAGAAATGCTTATACATTTGTTAAAAAAGGAAATCGGACCCAACAATCTTTGGAATCAAAAGAAGATCTTGAATTGGAACGGCAAAATCAAGAGGCTTTTGAAATAGCTACTCAAATAGACCCATCTCTCATAATTAAAATACCAAATAGTAAAGCCAAACTCTCAGACTACTTGTCTTCCACATTAAACCTTTCCAAAGAAACATTGCCATACAGTGCTGAAAACAAAAGGATTATAGATGAAGCCATATCTATTTTAAAGTATGAGGACAACAATCCACAGGATTTGGATGACTATAATTGGGACAGTGATGGAGACTTGTAATTAAATCGTGGAACGGCAACCTATATGTTTTAAATTGAAAATCATCTTGTTTTTGCAAAATGAAACAAATTGCACATCAAAATAATGTTTGGTTTTCCTGAAAGCTTGGTTTGAAATAAAAACTAATTATTAATTCACCTAATCGGCTAAGGACAACGCAGATGAAATATGATATACGCCGTATCCGAAGCTTGTAGAAATCTACGCTGTTGGAACTTCAAGGTAATTTTACAGATGCCGCTTCAAAACTTTGATCGTTTGCATATTACCGTTAAACTTGAAGCAGACAGGGCCGGAACAAATACAATTTTAATAACAGCGTGTTTGGATTTAATTAATTATATAATTCTATATATTATTAACAAATGTGGTTATTGTCCTTGAAAAATATTTTTATTTCCGAATGAAATTTAACCCACTGCCATTCTTGGTAATTATTGGTTTTAATTTTAAAAATAAATACATACTCTATCTTTATAAAACTGTTTACCAATGTTTAATATTTTTTAGGCTAAATTTATGTAATGTTTCTTTTTAAAATTTTGATTTTGATTTCTCTAAAAAACAAACATCTTTATAGAGATGTCTATTTGAGATTTTTAAAAATTAGCTTCACATAATTCATTTTTAACATTTATACATACCTACATATTTTTCTTGCACTGAAATTAAAAATGTACCTTGTAAGGTAATATCTTATATACAAGGTGGGCCACCGGTAACGCCTTGGTCTGCAGAGCCACAACCATTTGGTTTTTTTTTAAATTTGTTTTCACAATGAGATGTATATCGCAAAAACCAAAAACTTAAAAATAATTTCAATTATACAGGGTTATTCAAGAAAGTGATACATATCAAAGTTAGGTTTATAGTATAAGATTATACAGAGTATTTCACACGCTATAACCAATTTTATATGAAAATCGCATTGTAAGAAACAATTGAAACCAATCTTTTATGGTAAAAGATTTTCGACATTTTATGCCGATGCACTACTTTTTTTAATTCGAAACTAATCTGTAGAGGGTAAGTCAAAATTTAAATACCTAATTTTCTCATTTTTATTTTTAATTTTAATAAGCTTTTCCTATACCTAAAGTTATTAATTTTGGAAGTTTTTTAATTTTTAATGAGAAAAAGAATTCACAAAATAAAATTTTTACTGGTCACTGGTTAATTGAAAGTAAGCTATTTGTAAATTGTTAATTAGAATTTAACCAGCTATAATTTATTATCTGAATAAGTTTTTCACAATTTCTAATAGTTAAAAATAAATATCTACTTTATTCTAAGTTAATTATATTTTTAAGTCGACTTTGAAACCCCAGTACTGGCAGTTCGTTATTCCTAATTTCATTAGTGTTGCAACATTTGTTTTTAAAAAGTCTAGACAGTTTTTTAATATGGTCCTTAGTCGTGAATAAGAGAAGTATTTCAAGTGTTACTTAAAAAATGCTTAGAAATGTGAGTTGAACCTTTTAAAACCACCTTTTGACCACCATAAATGTCACTGAAGACTTAGACAAACTTTTATTGTCTGGTTGCATTATAATTACCAATTAACATACGTTTTTTCCTATTAAACAGTGACCATTAAAATTTGATTTTTTCTCATTTAAATTTAAATATCTTTAAAAATTATTATATTTAGGTATAGGGAATGTTTAACTTTAAGTGAGTTACTTTCAAATGGTAATATAAAATACAAGGTGTTCTATGTAAAAAAGAGAAAATGATGTATTTAAATTTTGACTCACCCTGTAAAGATTTGTTTCGAAATAAAAAATAATGCATCGGCAAAAAATGTTGACTAATATCGAAATACTTTTATCTCAAATAAATAGTTTTCAATTGTTTCTTTTGCAGTATATATACAGATCATTGAAATCAATACAATTTTCATATAAAATGGGTTATATCGTGTGAAATACCCCGCATATCATACTATTTGGTTCTGTTAGGGTAAGAAGAGTTTGGGCAATTCAAATATAAAATAAAACACAGGGTGTCCCATTTAAAAAACCTTCCTTTGATGTGTATTATTTTCTTGAAGAACCCTGTATAATTGAAATTATTTTTAATTGGTTGCCTTTTCCAATATACATCTCGCAAAACAATTAAATATTTTTGTCTCTATAGACCCGAGGCATTACCGACGGCTCACCCTGTATACAGTCGAAGAAGAAGTAACAACTGTATATAGTACTCATAGAACAAACACAAACACTAATGGTTATTTTATAATAATAATAATATCAGAATACATCATTACTGTTTATTTTGGCGCATGCCGTATTATTATTTGTGACTTAAAGGGCATTATTACTTTTTTCTAGACGGTAACTTTTCATTTTCATTTGGTAACATGTAACGCAGTGAAACCGACGTGAAGATATATTTTATTTTAGTTGAAAATTCGTTATTCACATGAACGTTGCTTGCTATTCGAATATTGGTTGGGATCGATGACAGTTGATGAGCTGGTTACTCTCAAGAACGTCGCTTTGTCAAATGCTGTAATTAACTGGTCTATTAGTGCCGTTTATTAGAGGGTATTTCTCGGTTTTTAGTGGCCAACGTATTTAAAAATTCTTCAGCTAGGTATGCTGTTTTTTAAATGCTCGGTACGGCTTACCGATTTAGCATACCTAGAAAAATTATGTTATTGAATTTAAACGCACTTTAAATTATTTTTAAATCTTCATATTTTATTACGAACAATTTGATGGGTGGCACAAAATTTATCAAATACATTTGATCGAAAAAACATTTGATCGAATATCAATTGATCAAAAAAAAATTATCGAAAAGAACAATGATCGAAAAGAAAATTGATCAAGAATAGATTTGATAGAAAACTTAAATATACATAAAACTAGAAAAACTAAAAAAACCTAATTTACCTAACCTGTGCGAAAACAATGAGATAAATTTAAATGGCTTCAGGCCGGACAGGTTAGGTAAATTGGTTAAGAATTTTTGATTTTCTCATTTTAGTACATATTTTTTTGGGAAGCAACCCGTCGAGGGTTTAGGCCGCACAGGTTAGATAAATTAATTGAGTTTTTATAAAAAAATCTTAATTAATTTACCTAACCTGTCTAAGAGCAATCAGTAAAATTTAAATGGCTCCAGGTCGCACAGGTTAGGTAAATTAGTTAAGTTATTTTAACTTTTTAATTTTTTTTGTTTTTGCAAAACAACCTTCGATGGACCCAAGCTGTATAGGTTAGGTAAATTAAAAATAACTAAATACTACTAAACATAATTGCTAACGAGAATTATACCGATTGCATGCAGATGCGAGGAAAATTGAAACGCCCGAAGTTGAGATATAAAGAGAATTGAAAAATATTCAACAATAGCCCAAAATATTTACATTTATTTGTTTGTTTGCAGTAGTTTTAAAAACTGTCCGTATTTACAAAACCTTCGCTATTGGACCACTAAAATTAATCATACGCCTGCCCAACGTAAAAGGACCAAATACATTCTCGTGTCGCGTTTAAATAGCACACTACGCAATTATTCTTTTTCAAAAATATTCATTGTATCTCTTCTTTTTTATTATTAAGTATATTTATACATATTTTTTTGTTGGAATCATATGTTAATGAATAGTGTCAAATCTATAACAATTGCATAGAAAAATCCATATCGAAACACTATCAACAGCCCATGTTTTGTAGTCATAATGTTAAATAAAATTATTCAATTTAGATGAAAACTACAGTTGGATTATAATAGGTGATTAGATTTTCTTATCATAATATCGCGTATGTTTTATAAAAAACTTAAGTATTGTGTCACTCAAACAAATCACATATACAAGTTTAAATGAATATGCAAAATAAAATGACAATTCTAAAACGGACAATAATTCTCATGAAATATTTCGAGTAAGAGGTGTGTGGAAAATGTATGTATTTTGTTTATCCTCTAACCATTTACAGGGGAGATATAATAGGTTTTACAGAATAATCGGAAAAAGCCTATAATAACTTTAGGTGAGATAGGAGAGTCATGTGTTGGACAAATAAGATTTTTTGTGGTATCAAACCAAGTTAAATATAAGGTTAAATAAATTGTTATTTACGAAAATGTTGAAAATTGTGCCTAATAGAGGGTACAAAGAAAACTTGATTTTTGGATACAATTTTGAGGAAAATTTTTACTTTTGAAATAGGACGATTTTTGGACAACCAATATCATTAAAACTAGAAATTAAAAATTACAATTTTCCCCACTCAAATAATTTGATCTATAAAATGTCAAGGGAATGATAAAAACAAGTCTAAAAACTCTACGTGTGCAAATGCTTCCATTGCATGTTGTAGGTTCACATTGATAATAATAATTAAACAACTCTTATCTTTATTTGCGATGGATTGAGAGATAATAAAATAATACTTACCAATCAAATGGACTTAAATAGCACTATACAAATATAACTGTGTATCTGTCACCAATTTTTACCAAACAAGCAAAAAATAAGATTAATGTAATAACAAAACTTTTCACTACTATCAAATTTCACAAGTTCATAAATACCAACGTGGATCTGTAATTAATCAAGCACAGCGTCTTACGGGAATTGACAGGACTGAATAAGAATTAATATAGTGTGGAAAGTACATTATATAAAAAATGTATAGATGTACAGATGTATAATACTTAGCCGATGAAATGTCGTCGAGTTCGCGCATGACATATTGTGGTGTGGAATCTGATTGGATGTTGCCTAAAATTCGTAAAAGCCACACCTCTGGACCATAATACGTTACCGTGACGTAGTATCAATCAGCGTAATATCATACTATCTGTTTATAATATCATGTGTAAAGTATGCATTAGCACAGCGTTGCCAACCTATATATTATATCTTTAAAGAGCTAAAAACAATCGTAGAAAATCGGTATATACCAGGAGAAATCGGTAGAGGCAAAAATATATTGTCTCGAATAAAATATATTGTTTAAAAACAGTTACAAACAGGTTTT